ACAATAACCACATCCACCAATAAAATATTGAACTGGACTTTGCATTGTTGCATTATTACAAATATGCTGCACTGAATGTCCTTATTGTGCAAATGTTTACACTGGAGTTATTTAAGGGGTTATTGGGTGGGGTCTTGCACCTGTAGTAATGCACTTTACATCCAAAGTATGCAGTGTTTGAAGCACTAAACGTATTTTTGTTGTTTTCTCTGACAATGACAAAAAATCTCTTGAATCTGAAATAAATAAAGATAATCATCTAAATCTTTCCTTATTCTCTAGTATATTAATAGTGTATTTATAATATTAGCTATTTGACACTACATGGCTAGTGGGAATATGCTAAGGCTGCAACTAACGATTACTTTGGCAATTGATTCATCTTGCCATATTTCTTTTGATTAATCATTTACTTGTCAGAACATGAAGGCCCCTGAACATGAGATTTTTACAACATTTTACCCAGAGAAAGCTGCTTGAGGTCATTCTGATGGGCTATATTTACAGACTGATTGAAAATAACTTCCAGAGAGCAGTTGGATGATGTCTCTGTGTGTTTACTTCAACTTCGAGGGCCAGTCTCCCGCCAAAAGGAGTAAATTGATTTTAGTACGGTACACAAACATGTCTGTCTGCAGGGAGGATTTTTCCTGTGGTTGTGTGGTTTTAACTTTGTCTTACCACTGAATCATGCAGGTGCATAATTGTTACGGTCAATAAATGTTACCACTTTATTTTGACATTAGAAAGTCCGTCCCTTTACAGCCTAGAAAGTTATTTTATCTTTAGCCTACATCGCTCTTACTGCGCGCGTTTTGTGTGGGTTTCCGGCAATGAGTGGAATTACCGCAATAAAAAATCAATAAATGTGTTTTTTTTTTGTGTAAAAAATATACAATATATATAAAAACAGATTTTATAATAATGCAACTCGCATACAGAAACAGTAAAGTTAGAGATTAAAAATGAGATTAACGCGATTAAAAAACATAACGCGCTAAATATGACTGTAATTACTTTATCACAACGCGATAATTTGACACCCCTAATATATATATATATATATATATATATATATATATATATATATATATATATATATATATATATATATATATATATATATGTACTACAGTAATATACAGTAAAACAAAGCTAACTACACAGAATATGATACTTCCATTTCAGCGCAAACTACATGACAAAATAACTTATTTAGCACTTATTTTTATTCTGACTATAATGATTCACACAAAGATCTTGACAAGACATTTAAAAAGAAAAAAATTGCATTTCTACAACTCTTATACAAATACTCATATATAAAAATACATGACTACAATTTAGTACTATATAGTTTAAAATTCATATAAAGTCTAAAAATGTAAGCTATATTTGGTACTTGGGTTTAAATATTTGAAATTACTTGAAGCTCAAAGCAGATGACTTGGACTTGACTTGAACTTTTGGGGACAGTGACTTGAGACTCGACTTGGACTTTCCTGTCTTTGACTTGGGTCTTGACTTGGACTTGAGGTCAAAGACTTGAGACTTATTTGAGATTTGCAAAACAATGACTTGGTCCCACCTCTGACAAATAGAATAACACATATTATTATTGTGAGCGGGCTTGCCTCTCCACAGACCTGATGTATGGCCTTGAAGATAGCAGAGAATCTGTTATTGTTCCACCGATTTATTTTATTTTTGTTATTTATTTTACAACAGATGAGATGACTTTTACTGTTAAACACGTCCCTCATAAATAACATCAGCTACAGTCACAAGTTACCAAATATTAATAGTTTTTCAGTTAGGCACTCTCAGCTTTTTGTTGAAAATAAAACTTGACCATGAACGCTCGTACTGATCTCAGACTCTAAAAATTTGTTGTTGTTGTTTTCAGACTTTCTTTAAACGTTTGGGCTGTGTTAGTGCTAATCTGTACATTGTGTCACCATGGTAACTGCTGAAAATTCCCTCGTACACATCCATGCAAAACACACCCAACATGTATCAATTGTTAACTTAATAAGTAAACTCAGCTGTCATTAACCTGTGTTCTATCCCACTAATTGTAAGTAGTAATAATTATAAACCCATGAAAACCCATCACAGGCATCACGATTAAAGTGCCGCACTGTGTACGACTCTTGTAATCCCCCATCATGTCCTGCAGGTGTCCCCTTCCTCACTCCTAGTCCTGGAGCCACTCCAAAGCAGGAAATCCCAGAGACTCCCCAGAACAAAGAGGAGGAAAGAGAGGAGAGCAACAAACATGAGCAAGAGCAGCTGCAAGTGTGAGTCCCTGTCACTCTACACACAGATCTGTTATTGGAATAATGACATCCAAATAAAAATACAGGATTTATATGGGACAAAAGCAGAAAGTACAAATCAATGAGTGAGTTTTTTTTTTTTTTTTTTGTTATTTATAAATGCAGATTAAACTCATGATTCTTGTAGTTTCATGTAGTCTTGTGAGTGCAGTTTGATTAGATACACAGACATAGATTTGAGAGCGTTTTTTTTTTTTTTTTTTGTCAAATAGTTGATCAGCAGTATTTATTCCACCAAGAATTTCTTTAGTTGACTGCAGTTCTAATACTGTTTAAGTCAGGATTAAAAAACATTTGAGAAGAGTTCAAATTTGTCAAATGAATCACATGTAGGGGGTTAGCAGGTTTCTACGTAATAAGACTCCAAGCAGACTCAGAGACTGGATAATAAGACTGGATAATATTCACAACTTTGTGTTGTTGACCACAAGTGGACACACAGGGAAAGGACTTCGGCTCAGAAGGAGACACGAAGCACAATGATCGAGACTGGAGAGCTCCACTCAGCTGTATACCTGCACACGTGAAGACAGAAGCTAGTAGAGACCAATACAACCAAATCCAGATCAGAGCTAGAACCACCACTGCACCAAACTCAGATCTATCAGCCAAATACAAGTCTGCACCAGAGAGCAGTGCCACTGTGAACAATGGAGATATGTTAGGAACTGCTGAAGGGGAGATTGAGAAAAGAGACCAATGCTGTTCAGTCTGTAATAGTACATTTAAGTTTAAGAGTTATCTCGAACGCCATATGAGAGTTCACACAGGCGAAAGACCATTCAGCTAATCAATCTGTAAGAACACGTTTAAGTTTAAGTCTAGTCTCAAAGTCTATATGAGAGTACACACAGGTGAGAGACCATTCGGCTGTTCAATCTGTAATAGTGCATTTAAGATTAAGAGTAATGTCAAACACCATATGAGAGTTCACACAGGCGAGAGACCATTCAGCTGTTCAATCTGTGAAAACAAGTTTAAGTATAAGAGTAATTTCGAACACCATGAAAGTTCACACAGGCGAGAGACCATTCAGATGTTCAATCTGTAAGAACACGTTTAAGTTTAAGTCTAGTCTCAAACACCATATGAGAATTCACTCAGGCAAGAGACCACTCAGCTATTCAATCTGTAAGAACACGTTTAAGCATCAGCGTAGTCTCAAACGCCATGTGAGAGTTCATACAGGTGAGAGACCATACAGCTGCTCAATCAATGAGAACGCATCTAAGCAAAAAATTTATCTTACAAGGTGAAAAGTGTTACTCTGTAAAGGCTTAAGTTTTATTATCGACAATCTAATCAAACTAGTTATTCCAAGGTACAGGTCAGATCTGTGGAGATGCTACCCCCCTCATGGTTAGAATACATGTTTTTCAATGTATTTCTGAGGAATAAAAACACATTTAAGTATGTGCCTTTATAAAATGACAATTTAAAAGTATAATTTTTTCAAGTTACTATCATTTACCACTATAGAGAAGCTTTATTTAATTATAAGCTAATTTCTGGGAAAAATCATAAAAAAAATAGTTTAATTTAAAACTTCCTCAGTCAATAAAATTTAGCTTTGCATAGAATTGTATATTTGAGTACTAAACACTTGAAAAGTCTGCCATAACACTAGCACCTGCAATGCAACTTCAAGAGCTAGTCCACTACTCATGACTTTTTGACCAATTAGCCAAGCCCTCCAAACTGAATAGCCTCTGCTCTTTTAAGTCCTCAAGGGTCTGGGGGTCAGTGGCTAATCAGACTGCTTGGAGGACCTGTGGTTTTTGCTAGTTGACAGGGTGGGGAGAGGGGAGTGGATGGATAAAGGGGGGCGAGGAGTCCTGCCAAGCACAGAAAGAGGAGCCTTTTGTGGCCGAGGCAGAGAGCAGAGCAGGCTGGTCCTTTCACGAGTTCAGGAGCACGACAGCTGAAGACAGGGGCCCCAGCCGCTAATTCTGCATCTGATGGAGAGTGACTGGAGTGGGGCTGCTGGAGTGAAGGGGGCTTGTGTCTGCAAAGGGAGAAATGAGAGGTGGGGGAAGAAATGCTGGGGCTGATATAGGACTGAAGCTGTGACTGATTTTCATCAAAAAAATATTTTACTTTATTGAATGGTTCTATACAGGGGTGGGTAGAGTAGCCAAAACTTGTACTCAAGTAAGAATAATGTTACTTCATAATGATATTACTCAAGTAGAAGTATTAAATAATAGTCTAAAAATAACTAAAAAAAGAGAAAAAAAATGGGGGGAATCCTACCACCCAAGAAGAGTAACTCAAAAGAGAAACTGTCGGCAACAGACTTATATTTGTTAATTTGTTAATTCTGGTATTTTGAAATGATAGACACAAAAAAAAAAAAATCATATCTGAAGGAAACACAAATATTAAAATTACTTCATATTGTCAACATAAAGCTTTTGTTGTAGACTTATTCATATGGGAAAAGTAACCAAGTCTTTAACTAAAGTAAGAGCACTATAACAAATAAAATATGACTCAAGTAGGAGTAAAAATATGCTGCTAATTCTCATTACTACTTTGTTTGGTGGAATAGCACTTGTGGTAAACATTTATTATAGCTCTACTTCAGTCAAGTGGTAATGTGTGAAGAAAAATCTGGTTCTAAAAGAGAATCTCTCTGTAAACAATACACACTATTCCATCCAAAAGGCAAAAACACTTTAATCGTTTCTGTGTGTAGATAAACTTTGACCCATGTTTACAGTTTGGCTGCCAGGTTAAGTTACAGTATCATCTGTCCAGAGGCAACCGGAGCCTTGCCTGTGGAGTTCCAGATGAAATACTCTTTCGATTGAAGTTCTCGAGCTAAAAAAAAAAGAATAAATGTTTGAGTAAAGTTAACTGACAGATATGATACAAAGTCTTGATACTCACTGGTGAAGATTCTGGGTTTGGCAGTGGAATAAACCTGGACTGAATGTTGGTCCACACTGCAGCCGGACAATGTCAGATCAGGCACTTTGAAATACAACTGTGAAGAAAAAAAGTGTTTACTAGTGGAGACTTATTCTATACCTTTGACCTCAGGGATAAAGTGTGTAACAGTAACAGAAGTACAAGTTCTAATAGCAGTAGAATTGGTAGTAGTAGCAGTAAGTACTTGTAGTAGTAGTTAGTAGTGTTGCCATGATACAAAAAACTTGATTCCAATACTAAGAAAAATAATTAATAAGCAATACCAATTTCGATACCACAATGAAAATAAAATAAAAAAAATTAGACAACAGAATGTGATTTTCAGCAGTAAATCATAGTATTTTCTTTCATATTACCACTTGGATTAATATCTGTGTAATCCCTCAGTTGTCCAGGGATGTTCCATAGTGGTCCATGGGTGTTTACAAGTTTATGTGTTCATATAATTTCTGATACTGCTAAAGATCATTCTAAAGTTTTTCAGGAAGGGTTAATTTCTTTTGCCAGGCCCACAGCATCTTTAAGGACCCCTCACATCCCAACCATAGACTTTTCCAACTCCTCCCCTCCAGAAGACACTTCAGAAGCCTTCGGACTAAAACCAGCAGGTTCTGGAACAACATCTTCCACGCAGCTGTTTCCTTACTGATCTCTAACCCCCGCTAAACGCCTATGTCCCCCTCCCATGTCACCCACTTGCCCTCCTCCCTCTTCATCTCCCCCATGGATCTTGAACGTACCCTGTCCAATCCAAACTACATGTATATACCGGCAATGCTGTATATCTCTGCATATCAACTTTATATTTATTTATTTACAGCGCACCTGTTCATATATATCTTTTGCGCTTTTTTTTTTTTTTTTATTAATCATTGCATTTATATAGCGCCTTTTAAGATAGGAGGGAGGGAGGTAGCACTCCACTGTGTTTTTAAACTCCATACACCTTACCTAGAATTATCTGGATAATTTTAGCCATGGTATTTCCAATCTCTACTTCACAAAAGGTAAAAGGTAGCTGTTAACTTGAGTTTTGGAGATGTAGACAGACTAATAATTCAGGGTTGCCCATGTGTGAATGAAACAAAACACAACTCCAGGTATGTTTCTGAAGAGGTAACAGCATTAAACATGGCTTAAAGCTCACAAGAGTCAATTTTGTGCAATACAGAACCTTTAACATTTCACTCATTTAGAAAAGTGTCTATTGCTTTAAAGTTATGGTGCTAGTAGTCATTAATATTATCGTTAATTGCTTATATTTTCTGTAGCAATATATCAAACTTCAAAATGTTATTGTGACAGACCTGCTATGTCACCAAACCTACTCACCTTAATATAAGCGGTCAATCCACTGCACAAGGGGTCTGTAGGTCCTAGCAACGGCCCGCCAAAGCCGATTTTGCCTTCCAGTGAAACCTCCCGAGACTTTGAAAACTTCTGGCCTACAATAAATATAGATCAATTTCAGAAAGTATACTTTTTATTCATTAAAAGGTGAACTATGAAACGTTTCCAGTAGAGGGTGCGTCACCATGGATATGTTTTAAAATGTCTCACAGTTTGGAGTTAAACTTATTTATCTGCACAAAGACAAGAACCACTGGACCAAGTTAGAGGTCAGATCTGTGGAGAGGTAAGCCTGCTCACAATAAGAATACATGTTTCTCAAGGAATTTTGAGCGATAAAACCTGTACTTGTGAATATGCTAAATAGACAAACTTAAAGAGGGAGTATTTTACTTATAAGGGGTATTATTTGCTAACACAACATATTTAGATCACAACTTTTATTGTTTTGAGAATGTTATACTCAAACAACGTATTATAGTTTATAAATTTCACTTTCATTTTTTGATACTCTGAGTCTCCTCTCCCCTCCCTCCCCACACTAAATCACTTCCCCGACCAGCGCTATCACAACACAAAACAGCGCACATCCCGCTAATGAAACTACTGCACATCCCATCAGGTTTGCAAAGTTGTCGTGTACATTATTGTATCATACTTTTGTGTATTTATGGAAAATTGTTGTGTCATCAATCAGTTTCACTTCGTGGAAACCGTCTGACCTCGCAGCATTAAGATGCGTTCACTCGACGGCAGGCGGGTACTTTTTTATTTAATCAATCACTGCTATTTGGATGTAAAGTATGTAATGCACCAAATCCAGTAGGAAGAAGGGCAATAACGTCTTTCCCCTTGATAAAATTCACCAAACATTCTCTTTGTTCCAGCTTTAAATCCTCGATCTCGGGAATCGTCTCCAACACAGAAGGTCTGGCTTCGTCTACATCCGTCTCGACCTCTTTGTTTACTGTTGTGCTGTACCACAAAAGGGACCCAGACAGGAGCTGGAGTTTCACCTCATGGCTTCACAGCTCTTCATTGATTGGCCGGTGCGCAACCTACAACTTCGAGGGTTCTTGCAAACCATCTAGTGTATTCCGATTCCTGACCTAGTCGCTCGAGAGAAATGAAATTGATCGGAGGCACTAGGTGGGCTAGTGGGCTAATTATTGCACAGAATCTCACATCTAACCGCAAGGAGGGTTTGAATAGGTCCAGGGAGATATCATTAAAATATTCAAACATGAGTGGATGACATCTAAAACCTCTTCAGGCATGTTTTTGATGAGGTAACAATGTCATAAAATGGTACATGCATAATACCCCCTCATTAAATGCCATACTGCGAACACAACACATCCAGCAAGTGGTGGACCCTGTACCAGAAAAGCTACAGAGCGCATCTTTAAATTCTTAGACACTACTAGTATACCTATAATCCACACTAGCAGGTTCTTTTCCTTAGAGACATCCAACTGTCCATGGCTTACTTTAACATCCACAGCACTCATCTGATCTCTGCAACAAGAATGGTGCGAAAATTATGAACAGATGCCTATTGACGTATACATATATTTTCTGCCTCTAAAACGAACGTTGTGATGACTCTAGTATTATAAAAGTAAGTGAATACCTGTTGAAAAATGGCAAGTGGGCTTCACAGTAGTCAAAGCTGTTCTTCACGCTCTCATGAAGCTTTAAAGTGGCTGATATGTGCAAAAGGCTGTCTTCATTCTTCAGCTGATAAGAACCAAGGATTGGTGGCACCGGAACCTGATAGAAACACAGAAATTAATGAATAAATAAATCATAATGAATAATTACACTAACAACAACGCATGCCAATGTGCACTTCCCAATTATCTGTCAATAAAGAGTTGTTTTGACCTTGAGAGCTGCTTGTACAATATATCTGTACTCTAGTATCGATACCTGTGCAAATGTGTATCTACATTTGATAGTAGTTTTAGTATTTTAGTAGCTGATTTTCGATACTTTTGACAGCCCTATTTAGCACATGGTAGAGTTTACACATGTCTTACCTGGGAAGTATAGCTGCAAAGTCTGAAGGGTTCTAGAGGAGGGGAGAAGGGGAACTTGTAGGGTCCAGAGAAGGCGGAGCTGTCGCTGCTGTCCACACTGTTGGCTGTGAGGATGCTGGAGTCTAGGGACGTAACACAGGGATGAACCAAGATGTCCTGCAGCGGAGAGCCGTTAGGGGGCAGTGTCAGGGTCACGGTGACGTTAGGAAGGACACCCTCCACTTCACACTGTAGGAAAATATATAAAAGATATCAAAAACATTGTATCCTTGTCTGTTCAATTTATAGATATGTATCAGTTGTAAATTGTGGTACAGGTGACAGTGGGTTTATTTGAAATTGAGTTTTGGTTAGGTAAGTTCTGCTTTTACACAGGATTTTTGTGCACTAAAACACCCATAATGAAATTAAAGAATGGACACAAGCACACACACAGGATAAAGTTGCATAGTGAACTTTGGTTAAATCCTGTTTAATCCAAGTTTAGATCTTGGTTAGTAATCCAAGTTCAGAACTGCTGTAGACAAATTACCTTGCACTTACTTTACACGTGACAGTGCCATAGACATCCCACAGGTCTTGTCCGTTGGGGTTCCCATACTGCATAGAGCGCACCACCTCAGTCAGGGCCACGTTCACCACTGCTCTGCCTCGGTGTAGTCCTGTCTTCCAGGCAGGCTGCTTCTGGTTCCCCACAGGTATGACCCCTGTGGAGGGAGCAGGAGATCCAACAACAGGGACATCCTGGGGAGTTCCCAGGGGGCAGATCTGCAGCAGTACAGAGGGCAGAAGAGCCAGGCGAGAGGCCAGTCCTTCAGGGTCAGGCTTACCTCCAGAGCTGAGGAGAAACGTCTGGAGGCCTGACAGAAGTGTAAGACCCTTGGATACGGAGAGCAGGCTGGACAGGGGTGGATGTGGTTTCATGGGAATATCTACTAAAGGCAAACATGCCAGAATAAGTGGTCCATGAGAAACAGCCAGCACAGGCCAGAGGGTGTCCTGCTCATGAGCGCTCACATGCAGCTCCAGGGCCGGGGAGTGCGGGCAGTGTGAACAATTGTCCCGCTGAGACACATAGGACTTGTCTGGGTCTGACAGCCCCAGCTCAGTTAACAAGAGCTGCAGCATCACATCCTCATCAGGGACAGGGACATACGCTGTCCCCGCCAGCAGCTTGGCCCGGTGTTCCACAGTGGAAAATCTCCTGTGAGGGGAAAAGAAGACATGAACTTTCTGATATACACGGGTATATCAAGGTGGAAGCCTCTCAGTTTGAAGGAGATATTATTAGTGAAACAAACAAACAAAACATTTCAGATTGTATTAATTAAAAGCTAAATAAAAGACAACTTTTGCTTCTTTTTGCCTGAACAAATACAACTCTATAATACCCGCTTTTTAAATGGCTTGACGTCTAAATTCAAAATCGACTTACTTGGAGAAGCGTAAAGACACATGTTCTCCCTTTTCTAGGGAAATTATCCACAGAGCCCGGATGCTCATGTCTCCAGCTTCTTCAACATTCAGATACCATCCTTAAAAAAAAAAGGACAAAATACAAACAAAAGCACAATCTTTAATCCGCTGCAGAGCAGATATTTTCATCAAAACGCTGTAGATAATCGTTGCTTCCTGTTTTCTCATGTGACCGTTCTCAGCTGATGCTGCGCATGCGCACTCGCTCGCAGCTGTCCCACCCTCAAACAGGAAGAGGCTCAGCGCTAACAGCGAGTGTCAACAAAGGACATCTCTGCAGATATCACCAAATCAATGTGGAGGTCTGCGTGCTGGTGTGTTTCGGGATCCTAATCCTACATTACATTTGACCGCGGCGCCAGCCTTTTCTGGACGATGGCGACCACCGCTCAGCTGTTCGAGGTAAGAGCAGTTCCGGAGCTGGGCTAGCCGCTGATTAGCTCAGCAGCTAAACATGATCAATGGATCTGTTTCTATTCAGTTTGATCTCTGCTATAATAAAGTATATGCATGTGTTATGCCCTGGCATTTATAATGCAATTGTAAACAGTCAGTAAGTCTTCGTATAAACAGATGCGTCAACTTTACACAATGGTACAAAAGAATATTCATAGTCTATTAGAAACATCATAGATCAGTAGAATCTTATGAATGAGTGACATGAATATTTGTGTTGGTGGTTTGTAAGAGCTGCCCTCACATCCTGACCCATGTCCTGACCGTGTCTCTGCAGGAGCCCTTTGACGCAGATGAGTACATTGAGAGGCTGGCCTGGAGGACTCCAGGAGGGGGCTCCAAAGGAGGGGCAGAGGCCTTTGACCCCAAAAGGTAAGTAGAGAGCGCTGTGTCACATGATCTGGTCGGACATTACAGAGCACATACAATGAAAGACACCGTCACCTCTTTACTGGCAACACATGTGTTTTCCTTTAGCTGCATCTGCACTTTCCTTCGGTCAGGTCCAGGTGAATTCACTATTTTGTGGCATGTCCTTCTGTCATTTTAGTTGTTGTCGTGATCCAATGCATAATTCTATACTATCTTAAATCAAAAGATACTTACATACATAAACATATATTGCAGTTGTATCACGTATTTTTCTAATGAATAATTACCGATACAAAGCTGAGCTCTGGTGGTGGCTGTGATGTTTATGCTTGGGTTACTGCTCATGAGCACAAATGCCATACCAGTTTAACTACTCTGCAGCATGCACTCTTATCTGTTTCCTCCATTAAACTGTTGGCTCCACAGCACCTCTGAAGCTCACCAAGCCGAGCCCACATATCAGAGGAGGCCACTGCTCTGTGCGTCACCAGTACAGAGACTGTCTACGGAAGCATGGGAGATGTCTTAAGCTCCACCAGTGGAGGGAATTAGCCAGGAGATTAGAGACTCATGGTTTTGGGATGTTTCCTGCTCTGAGATGTGCTGCTGACTGGGAACATTTGCTCTGCGTCCTGATGACACTTTAAATGCAGCTGACGAAGCTGCTGCTGCTCAGAGCTTCTTAAATCTAGGGCCCAGGAATTAAGCAGCAGCACTATTCTGTAATCACTAACTATAAGTGCGAGGTCAGTAGGACAGGTTTAGCCCCCAATCCAAATGACTCCAGCAGACTACACAAGTCTGATGGTCCCCTCATCTGTTTTTGATCTGATGTTTTTCTAGACTGTTAGAAGAGTTTGAGAACCACATAGAGGAGCTGAAGCAGCTGGATGAGAAAATCCAACGGAAAGTGGAGAAACTGGAACATCAGTGTCATCGAGAAGCCAAGGAGTTTGCTCACAAAGTGCAGGATCTCCAGAGGAGCAACCAGGTGTGGAACATGTCCTGGTCCATGTCTTTACTTAACATCACACCCCTCAGCCTCATGTGATCCTTGTGTCTGATGCTGTGAATGCAGGTGGCCTTTCAGCACTTCCAGGAGCTGGATGAACACATCAGCTATGTGGCCACTAAGGTGTGCCACCTAGGAGACCAGCTGGAGGGGGTGAACACGCCACGGCAGAGGGCTGTGGAGGCACAGCGCCTCATGACCTACTTCAATGAGTTCCTGGATGGAGACCTCCGCAGTGATGTGTTTCATAACCCTGACAAGGTGAGAGCCCTGCAGGTGTTCTTATGCACAGTGTAGGCTCTGACAAGTACCCAGCTGAGACAGAGCTGGAGGTGAGAATCTACAGGATTAGGAGGCAAACCACCCATATTAATTTGTCAAGTTTATCCCTTTAGTTGGATCCCTGGGCTAATTTGGATTATTAAAGTGTCATTTGCTGTGTGACAATAGCTGTCTGATTGACTAACATGGATGTCAACATGCTCATGTCAACCTTAATTACATTTAGTGGGCTGTCGAGGAGAGGAAATGTGGTAGGTTCTCAACTTTGAGTCACATTACTGCAACATTCATGTAGAGGATAACACATATTCAGAAGGGCAAATGACTGTATTGTCTACATAAAACTCAATATTGTGAGATAAGTAAACGCTGAGCCTAAAAGTTGGATGTTGCCGTTGCAGTAGTAGAGAAGAGCCTGTCAGCAGAAACATCATTAGTGGATGCTGCGCTGGGAGTGTGGGGTCAATCCCACAGACGAGAGCTCCAAATGGAGCCTGTTTTTGCAGAGCACCGTCCACACACTTCCTGAGCATACCTCCAGATGAGGAGAGGAGGAAAGCTGCAAGTGAATAGCTGAAGGGGTATGGCTTTGCTAATCCTTCTGAAAGGGAGGGCTGGGCCGCCAGCGTGGAGACAAGTGCTGCTAAACCCTGACTGCAGGGAGACGGCTACATTACTTACATGGGATTTAGCTAATCTTAGCTGGGGGACAGATACTTAGAAAACCTTCGCCGAGCAGAAAGGCTGGATCCTCCTCACGGGAGCACAGTAATGATGTTAGCTGAGGCAGGCATCTGCGCGAACAGAGCAGTTGTGAGCGCAGGCCTTTGCTACGACCGGCTTTTTCTACAGCGTGTATGTCAGGAGGCAAGGGGGGGTCTACAGGCCCCTTACACACATATCCCTGGCCGGACAGATTATTGAAGGCGATTTAGACTCCTGTGGGATTACAGCCCATTCAGAAAAACCATGCCAATAAAGAGGTGGATGTGCTGCTGCTGCTGTAGCTGCTGATGGCCAGGTGAGGGCCTGTTATCTGCTCCTGGAGAACACACAGGCAGGAGCCAGGAGGGCTGCTCTAACATCAACGCACCACATGAGGCAGCAACAGAGGCCTGCCTCTGTGTCATCTCAACCTGTCTCTCCTCCCTCTCACCCCTCCTCCCTCTCCAACCCCTCCATCCCCTCCCAACCCTCCCTCTCCATTGCCCCCACCTCTTTCACTCTCCTCTCTCATTTCACTCTGTCTCTTGTGGTGCAGATTAAGGAAGCAGCTGATATCATTCAGAAGTTGCACCTGATCGCGCAGGAGCTGCCGTTTGATAGGTGAGTCAGGACAAGCTCACTGACTGGCTGTCCCTGTCAGTTTAAGTGGACAGCTACACTATTTATCAGTTATCTCTACTGTATCATAAGTATATGATACTTCTTTACAAATACAGAACATAAACTATGCCTCATGTCCAAACTGTATTTGGCATCTCAATATTTTCTTTTTTTTTTTTTTTTTTGGCAGATTTTCTGATGTCAAGGCCAAAATTGCAAGTAAGTGTATTAATTTTGCGTTAACTTTGACTCACAAAAGATGACAAACTGTATGAGATTTTTTACATTTTAAAAGGTAAATACCATGATTTGGAAAGGCAGTTAATCCAGGAGTTCACAACAGCCCAGCGCAGGGGTGAGATTGGACGAATGAGGGAAGTGGCAGCAGTTTTATTACATTTCAAAGTAAGCTACTTCTACTTTAATTTGTTAGTCTGCTATTCATTACTGTTGAAATAAGTTTACAATAAATTGTCCTTCAGGGCTATGCACATTGTGTGGATGTCTACATCAAGCAATGTCAGGAAGTGAGTATATTCAAGACATTTACAAGGTTATGATAAATCTAGTGAGGTTTCCCGTCACATCACTCACTGTGGTTTAATTGCACAGGGAGCCTACCTGAGGAACGATGTGTTTGAGGACACTGCAGCGCTCTGTCAGAGGGTCAATAAACAGGTGGGGGAGGTGTTCAGCAGCCCTGAGACCGTGATGGCCAAACTCATCCAGAACATCTTTGAAAACAAGCTACAGGTTAATATCCGTATGCTCAACCATTGGTCTTTTTGTATTTTTTGTTTTATTTTTAAGGGCCTGTACCTGATGTTTTTATTTGTTTACTTTTAACACCGCCCACTTAGTCCTTTCTGCCATTCAGATGTTGTACTATGACACAGAAACAACTGCCTGGGAAAGTTTCATGTTGTTATGTGTTTATAGTTTTTCAATCTCTGTCTACTTTAAGATTCTTTGTCACTGCTGATAATGATACCATGACCAGGAAAAGTGTCTGAGATAGTGTCAGATTGTTGAGTCCCATGACTCTTAGTAACAATCTATTTATATTGAGTAGAATAAATTAAAATCAGGTACAAGTCCTTTTAACTTATGTAAAATGTTTGTTCCTCAGGCTCACGTGAAGGAAAAACTGGACAGCACACGGCACTCAGATGTGGAACAGTACCTCAAGAACCTCTATGACCTTTACACACGGTACTACACGGGTTGTTTAATCCTAATCCAATGCACTTTATTTTTATAGCACATTTTACAGTTGTTTCAAATCAGCCAAACTTAGATATATAAATAGCTAACACAAGTAAATATTAAATCAATAAGTGGCCGATCCAAAGAGCCTTTTATTTAATCTTTTTAAAAACACATTTCCAGGACAAGACAGACTTTTTATCCTTGCAATTTAAAACAAAAAGAAAAATTTTTCAACCAAAAATATGAAAAATCTGAAGCTCCAAACATTTGCTTTAACTGACACAGGCCTGGCTGTAGATATCTCCATTAAAGAGACTTATGATGATCACTGACAATTAAAATAATTTCTAAATACACAACAACTCTCCTAACACTACACGTTTACATCTTCAGCACCACAGCTCTTGCCACCAAGCTCTCAGAGTTCAACCTGGGCTCGGACAAGCACACGTTCCTGTCCAAGCTGATCAAGAGCATCTTCTCCACATACCTGGAGAGCTACATGGACATGG